AGTGCAGTTCTCTAAAGTGATGCAAGTTTGATAACTCGATGAACAATTGCTTTTCCGAAGAGCTTAATATGCCCATTAGTGTTTTCAACATAGTGCTCTAACACTACAACTTTGCAATTCAATATTGTAAATTTACAGTTGCTACATTTCTTTTAAGATATTTAAATGAAGAAACAATAGTGAATGAAATAATGTTTAGAATTTCAGTTCAAGGTACATTTATTAGAGATAGCATTATGACTGTGAACTGTTCCCTCCCCTAAAATAATAAGCATCAATATTCCTGGGATATCCAATGTTCCCCATTCACTCCCCATTTAGTGCTTTGCATAGAGAAATAGCTCAACAAAATTTCAATCCCCAAATGTCTGTATTTATATTTGGATCCATCTTGGCCATACCCAAATTTGAGGGACAGTTGCTTCAAATATACAATCAACTGAAGTGTACTTATGTCAGCTTCACTTATATTACAAATATAATGTTGTATTTCATGGAAACTTGATTTTAATGTACAAAAGAAATGCCACCACACACTTAATTTCTATTTTCCTATAAAGGCAGTAGCTAAGCTTCAGTGTAAGCACTAAAATGTTTGGCATATATGTTAATATCCTAAATAACTATACATGCATGCAAAGCGCAAACCCTTTCTTTGCATTAGAGTAAAATACAAGATTTATTTTGTCTTGTATTATGTCTTTACTCTGACAGAAAAGTCACTACCACTTGAATGAGAATTTATTTTTTTAATTTTGCGAAGAACAGAGTGGGACAATGTCAGGTTAACTTTTTAATAACTATTATCTTAATAACTCTTACAGTGCAGTGTTACAGAATGTAAGGAATTTCAAAATACACCCAGGCCCTTTAAAAAAGGCAATTCTTTCAGGAATTTCCCCTCCATAGGTTTTTGTTCAGTTTTGACAATTCTGCTATCAGATAGCCATATCCCAGCATGTTGTTGTAGTATCTTCGCATCTAAGGATATGACTTAGAAGATACCCTGGAAATCTATCTGCAGTGTTTTATTTGAATATTTTATTATAAATATTTTATGATGCTATGAGAAATAAATTTGAATTTTAATGATTAAGAAGCCTGACAGTATCCCTTTAAAAAAGCAATTTCCTGTAAATTAACAGCCTTTGAGATTTGGCTATATTTCTTTTTAAAGCACTGTCCCCATCAAAAGGCAAGACAATGAAAGGGTTAACGCAGCATCTCAAAAAGCCACCCTGCAGTCTTACATTTAAAAGCTATAAAGACATACCACTGGAGCCTAGAAATTCCACAGAGGAAATGGACCAGCACCTAAAGAGGTGTGGGTGTTCTGCACAGAGGCCCAGAAAATAAGGTAAAGCACTGTCAGAAGATACTTGTTCATGTTCCTTGAACTAAAGATGGGGGGGTAGTCTGAAATGAGTTAAGAGGGTGTGATAACAACATAAAAATAAGAAAAAACAGAGTGAGAGGGACAAGGAGAATCAAAATGATAGTCCAGCAGACAGACAAAACAACATCAATATGTTCTAATGTTAGTAGTGAACCCTTGGAAACCTGCAACATACTTAGGTTTCATAGGAGCTCATACTGCATGCATTAACCTTGTAAAAGATGTGTGGTAAAACTGCTGTATTAAATGAATCAGAACAATCAATGCATTCATTAAAAGCAATTTAGATCCTTTTTTAAAGAATATGGTCACTAAAAGATAGTGCTAAATGGAATAGAAAGTAATCATACTATTAGACACTGATACTGAAATGCAGTTCTTACTTTCTGACCTTGTATGTTTTGGAAATATTACTTGGTTTGAGTCTAAAGATAAAAAATGGACTCCTAACTTTCCTATTTGAAATAGGACACTAGATTTGGCCTTTTAGATCAAACACAGTCTTACTGGTATTAATTCAGCCTTACTATAGCAGTCTGCCTTCAAGAACCACTGCAGTGCAATAAGTAACTATGGATTCCAAATGAATATAATAAAGGACTATTTTGCTTCTCAACAAAGCCAAACAAAAATTCAGTCTTTTTTTTTTAAACCTTGTTTCTAAGCAAATACATTTTTAATCTAACACAAAAAAGCTGATGATTGCCACTGCAGTTTCAGTAATATCACTATCACTGTACTCAGCCAGCAGTCATACACATTTTAAAACTGCAGTTAAGAAATCTGGAAAAGCTACATTAAGATCTGGTGGATACTGAAGACCAAGTCTGGTTCTCATGAACAGGACACATTTTGGGCCTATTTAATCATGTAGAAAGGTAGGCATGAAATATTTTGCTGAGAAAGAGAAAGACATACCTCTGTCCTGGGTGTTAAACAGACTTTTTTTTGTAACTATGGTAGACTGAAGACAAGTTAACTCTCACTCTTGAAGCTCAAGAGGTCAATGTAAGCAACAGGCAGCTCTCTTGCTGTGATTTTTAGTGCAATATTTAAGTAATTTGCACATCTGATGAACAGAGAAGTATGATAAGGTAAAATAAATTTTTATCTGATGACACATATAGCAATTTATCAGGAATGGAACCAGAGCTTCTGCTTTAGTTTTTTTAATTTAGCATCACTTCAAGAAGATAGTCATAAACTCCAGTTGTCAATTCAGTGATTCCTTTTAGAATTGGGTCAGTGAAACAGGTCAGCAGGACAAAGAGAAAGAAGAAATGGCAGCTATCAAGAAGTGTATGCCCAATAAAGATCGGATTTAATTCTGTTTTTATCTTGTACCATACAGTCTGATCACACAAGAAATCGGGAAGAATAATGTATTGCAGAGATCATGATTAACAGTAGCACTTCCATTTTTTTCAAGGATTTTTCTAAGGAATGAATTTTGATGTTGTATTTACACTAATGAATAGTAAAGAAGGGATTTAGGATATCTAATGATTACAAATATTTGGAATTGTGCTTGAAGTTAGGAACGACAGACGGCTTTGATGATACTGTACACCCCGTATTTGAAATAAAAATAAAAGGGATGAAGCAAGGAACTTTTTTGTTTTCGTTTTTGTTTTTAAAATAAAAGCAAAACGTACCATTGGTTGGGTGTCGAGCAAATGAGATAGAAAACCTTTTAACAGCAGAACCGCGTGTGGTGTCTGAGAAAGAGAAAAACAGGTACCTGAAATTTGTAACAGCTACCAAAAGAGGGACATTTTATAAAAGGAAAGGAAGAAGAAAGAAAAAAAGAAAAGATGAGAAGGTATTAGAACTGAGTGGCATGCAGAAGGGACCAAGGAACGGGGCTAAAATCTAAATAGAGGTTAAAAAGAAGAAAATTTGGATTGTTGGTATCTACAAGATGTGTAATGAAGTGTATGAAAACAAGCAGAATGAGCTGGTGATTCTGGCATACAAGGTTATATCAGGTTAGAATTGAACACTGAGTAGTGAACTAGGGGGAAAACAGCATGAATACTGTTTCACCTCAGAGTTATAAAGGTGTGCTTTGGTATCTTTACATTCTGAAATCTAGTGAGAGAGTTTCTTGTCTAGCCCAGATTATCTAAAACTGAAAATCTCCTGCTCATTTCTAAACCAAACCCCACCAAAAAAAGGTCAGGAATCCTAAAATTTTTACCATCAGTATTTAACTTGTTAGTTTATAATCTCTTTCATTCCTTGTATAATCTCCAAGTAATTTATTTAATTTCAAGATCAATAAGTAATGATAAAACCCGAAGTTTAAAATAAGTAAAGAATTTCAAAACCAAAATTTTAGTTTACTTAAAAATGCACTTGCTGAAATCTCCTGGCACGCATTACAAGTCTGTGAGCCACTGTTCAATTCAAGACAGAAACAAGAATTAACTATGCTATGAAGTTAAACGTAAGCAAGCTATGGGCAATAAAGAAGCAATAGAAACTCACACAATTAATACTAAGGCAAGGATTCTAGGATTCCATTAAAATCAGTAACCTAGGATTTATCTTTAGAAGTTTAATGTGGCACATGGGTTCGTGCGTGCATGTGCGAGAGTGTGCACATACCATCTATGAAGCCAGAAGAAGTCAGCTTTTTACGATGAGTACGAGCATAATCCTGTAGGTTAGGTGCACTTGAAGAACCCCCGAGCACTGAGGTGCTAAACAGGCCCGCACAGTGAGACCCTGATGGGAGTTAGAGAAAATACATACAACAACCAGGTGTTCGTCCATTCACATTGGGGATGCATGCAGCATGCAAGCACATGGCTCTTACCACACAAAAGGCAGCTTTTGGCAGTGCCTTGGACAGGTTCACAATATGCTTGTAATGTCAGAGTGGTACTTGTAGGCTGAAACTATCATAATTTACTGTGCTTCTACTCATGACACAGCACCCTCTGCTATATGTGCAATGAGAGGACTGGCTTTAACAAAGTGAGTTCTTGTCCTGTTTTCACTTTTGGTGAAGAAAAGTTACCAGTTAGCATCAATGTAAACATAACCAAAACAAGAAAACAAAATGAAGATGATGATGATGTGAAAGTTGTGTGTTTTAAAACCTGCAGCTCTGAAACAAATATAAACTGGAAAAATACAGCTCATGGCTTTCATCCAAAATCAATCTTTGAGATGATAGGCTGCAATGATGTACTCATGCATTCCACAGACTTAATATGGAAATATTTCCTTTCTAACCCCAACAAAATGTTAACCAAATTAGAAATATTCTATTTGTATTTCAGCTAACTTCATTGACAATGTTACAAACTGAAAATACCTAAAAGTTTCTCCAAGGTTAGCTTGACTTCCTTTCCTGAGAAGACTTTTTTGTCTCTCCATGCGAGTGAGAGTACTTCTGTTACAACTTATACATTCCTGCCACTAGGATGGGAGTTTTAACAAATCACTGAAAGCCACAGACAGGAATATGAAAGTAACTTTTATAATCATCAACAATAAATGAAATTTACATACGACAATGAACAAAATGGAAAAAAGCTGTTGCCATCTTTTTGTTTAGCTTTTACTACTAGTTGAAAGGAGAAGTGGCTTTTCACTCACAACTTATCTTTTACATTTTAGGTAAGTAGCAGCAGATTTTTTTTGAAAACCAACAATCTGTCCAGTGATACTTCCCTTCATGACTTTTAATGACCCATTGAGGGGAAACATTACTAGCACATGTGACCAATCACAGCCAAAATAAATCGGTGCCTGGTCTGTGGCAAAAGCCTTTCACACCAAATTTAATACCTTAATCTATGCAAAGAAATACATCAACTTCCACAAGCCATATTGTGTCACACATTGGCAAAAGAAAATTTGTTTAACTAGCAAGCACACAATTAAAAAAAAGTAACTTTGATAAACAAGAGCACCTGATGTATGCATTTTACTAAGGGAAAAATATAACAGGGAGAAAAGTATCACAGAAAGATTAGACATAGAAAAAATACAGATCTTTACAAAGAAAGGAAAAGCAACTTCTAAGTTTATGCATATAGCTTATGCATTTTCTACATTTCATTTTTCCCATGAAAAGACAATCTTACAGAAAAAAATGCAATACTGATTTACAGGAGTGCAAGATTTCATATTTTTGCATATCAGTCAGATGTATGCCTGTTTCAAAGAAGCAACAGAAAAGCGCCACTTGAATTAAAAGAATTTGAAACAACTCATTGAATTATAGCATGATTCATTCTACTGCTGAAAGGAAGAAATTGATTTTAGGAGAGGGAATGTATGCAAAACCCCTGATATTATCAAGAAACTTGATAATATCCCCATCCCCCTCCCCTTGGTAAAGCACCTTCAATTCCATCAATTGCCCATACGGAATTGTTAATGTTCAAGAAAATGTTAAGGAAATGTTAATGTTCAAGAAAAGTGTTTAAAGAGTTTCCAGTGCAGGCCATTTCAATGCGAAAGATTCTTGCAGAACCAAAAAACTCAGTCATGAACTCCATTATCTTAAAAATGTTTAAAATAATCCTGTGTACCTGTTACAAGCAGTACAGTCAGTAGTGTGAACAGTCTCAAACAGTTTGCTCTTTTCAGTTATAAATTATTTTTAAACTTTTGCTGCAGAAAAAATTGTCCAATTCATCGGCAGACACTCAGCATGTACTATTGATAACAAGTACTATTGGGTCCTGTTAACGTAACAGCTATTCAAAGAATGTACAACTGTGCAGAACAACAGGGAGATGAAAAGCCGCTAACATCAAACAAAATTTCAATTGTAGGCACATACCTAGGCCACTCTGCTTTTGTTCCAGAATAGTTCTCGGTGTTCGTAAATTACTATTGCTTTCTGATAGGACCTGGATATAAAAAACAGAAAAATAAGGGAAAGTAGAACAGTAGCTTGAAATGTCCATTTAACTTGATACAGCAGCCTGTTTCAGACAGACGTGTTAATAAGCTGTATGATAAGTGTTAGTAAAAATATGTAAAGGAAACATGAGACGTCATGCAGTATCCCCTTCTGAAGGGAGTCCATTTCACATATGAGTTCCTTGCAATGAAGTGGTGCAAAGCAAGCATTCAGAATGAGAAAGGACACAGACCAAGACAGATATGAGAACAGACATTTGAGACATTTTATTTCATTTTACCAAATGCACTCTCCTAAACTGCGCCTGTATTGAAAAAAGGAAGGGAGGGAAGGAAAGACAGACAAACTATTGAGGACACCATACAATCACTGATCCATGCACGGGCTCAATCAGTGTAATCTTCAGATGCTCACAGCCTTTACTGATATAAACCTTTCCTATGTAAATAGATTTAGAAATTATGAAAATTTTCAAAGAAAAAGGATATGGTTAACAGAACACCATCCATTGTCATAAGTGTAAACAATATCTTGACATCTTCACTGGTACTTAAAAAAAAAAATTACTGTTTCTTTTTTTCCCTGCCTTTCCCCACCAATATTTAGAAAAATCTTCAAAATATTGTACAAGTCAATGGATGATGTACTGTGTTGGGAGTTTCAGATACCTCCAGATACAGAAGGCAAGAATTATTAGTGCTAGAGTTTGTTCCCTGCAATAGTTAATACCAGGCCACTGAAAAATATGATCTATGCAAAACAAGTTTTGTGTAGCAATATGAAGTACCAAATAAATTATTTTAAATTGTATTGGTTGCAATTATTAAAAAAAAAAGTTTTTCAATTTACCTACCACCAAATTAAGCAATGCTGTTTTAAAAGTCTTAAAGGACAACTAAACCAAAGCAGAAATCTGTTTCATTAGACAGTAGACTAAGTCTTTTTTACTGTGGTAACATTTGCAATTCCTATAAAGAAACCAAATTTTTAGGAAAACATGTAACATACTCAGTGGAAAAACATGCCCTTGCTCTTTTTCCCCCAAACATTCTCGGGAAGTAATTTTAAGTGGAAGAATTTGCTTCAAACATAATCCATAACAAGGGATTAGATGTCCTTAAAGACAGTTGGTTGTTGCTTGGAATGCAGAATAATGTTTAATGAAGTAAAGTTTAAAAACCTGTTGCCATGAGCCAAAAATACTGGATGTGAAAGCCAATGATTTAGGGGAGACAGGGGAAGAAGTGATTTGTTCCCCTGATCTGCGCCTTCGACGCCCAGTACCCACACCACTGGTGTAATGCAGCCAGGTACCAATACACTCTGGGCTAGACACACTCAGGGGGCTCTCTTCCTGGAAGTGAGAAAGGGGGCAAAAAACAGCAAAGCATGCAAAGTTAGATTCAACAGAGCCAAATGAACAGAAAAGAAAAAAAAAAAACCAATCTGCTTGCACCCTTTTGTTTACTGCTTTTAAAACTATTAAACAGCAAATAGGGAAGAGTAATGTTACAATATAAGGAAGTTATCAGTTCCACTTATATATTTTAATCCAATTATATCTTTTAATACGACACTTTAATAAAATTTTTGGTAGACTAATTATTAATTATAAGATATGAGAGAAAGGTAATTGTTATCAAGAATTGATTCATAATTTTAAAAATTTCCCACATGTTGAAAACAGAACATCTGTTATCCTTGACGTACTGTTTAATAGTTTTCCCCCTCTAAGTACAATAAACTTTCCTATTTATTACTTAATAGTTTTCATTTCTAGTCTATTACTTTACCTAAAAGATTCTCAATTTTAGAATTGCCTTTGAGACTTTACAGCTGACTCACTGGTAGTAGCACCAACCTTACTGGTAGTAGTTTTCTAACCTTAAAAAAGCCCTAAAAATTATCTAATACTGGACATCTATTAAGACTTCAAGGGAGGACAGTGTCAGGCTAAGAGTCCCCCATGCCCTACATCATTATGTATCATTAACAATCAACACTTACAGCAATACAGAATTTGATTTCCAATGCCGATGAGACTTACTTTCTTGTTTTACCATTAGAACTCTGTTTTTTTTATTTTCATGACTCAATCACAGTTGCAGTCCTTCTGTAAATATTGCTGACTATACCCCAGATTAAAGCTTCCCTATAATCTCACACCTGGCAGTGTCCTTTCAAATTAATGGACATAGGTGAAGAGAGCATTACCTTATGGGGGAGGGGTGGGAGGGCAAAAAGGGTTCAAGGCAGTTGCAGTTTAAGTTGCAATTACTTTTTTTAAACACTTGAAAATACCATTTGGTTCAAATACTCCAAATACTGGTTTTGCGGATTTCAGTAGGCCAGATGAAACTTCCAATTTTACTTTTCCAAAAAAGGTTAATAGTGTGTGTTTTCTTTAAATCAGCTATTTGCTTCCAGCAAGTAAACAAGCACTGCATGCCGAAACACATTCCATCTGAACATACATTATCTGCACAGTCAAAATTTGTTATTTCATACCTTTTGAAAATAACGCCTACATAATTTATGAAAATTAAAATGGTTAAATGTTTGAAGTAATAAGACTATTAAGTTGTGTGTATGTAAACTCATAACTAGGAGGGCAGTTTGCATGATCATAGTGAAAACAGCTTTTAAAAATCCAAAATATTGATGTTGTGAGCATTTGTTTATGATAAAACTTGGAAATAGAAAATGTAAGACATTCACATATTATCTCTGTTAATTTATGGAAGTCATGTGAAGTTATACAGATATCCTTATAGAAGGGAACCATGCATCTTTTTCTCTCCACATTACCAATAACTAAGTTACTTGCAAATCTGCAGTAATTTCATTGCATACAAACAGCCCATACCCAACACAAACATGAAAGGTAAAGCTTTTGGTGTGAATCTTAATTTCTGATGTTTTTAAGCAACTGAAAATGAGGCAGTAAGAAGCTGTCAGTCTGCTTCTAGCATTAATATCACAGAAGTGCCACTATGCACCATCTAAGGCTTTGCCACTCAACCGTACAAATGGTATCAGGGATACTGCCGTGCATCCCCCCACCTCTGTGACATTAAAGCCATATCTGTGAAGCACACCTAGATGTCATGGCCTTCCAGACAGGAGATTAGACTGTTCAAGATGTTATGTAAAGAATTTATGGACACTAACCCTACCCACTTAAAAAAAAGCTTCCAGTTTATTTTCTTACCTTCAAATGCTTGTCAAGTGGAGTAACTTTCACTCCACGTGAAAGCATATACAGCAGAAGACATCTCTCACCTCCTGTACCTCCCCTACCGCCCCCAATCCCTCCATTCCCTCTCAGCATGATCACCCAGAAGGTTTGCTTAATTCCCAATAGCAGCTGTCTCGTACGGATGAATACAAAAGAAATGTATGTTAGTTTGAAGACGTAGGTTTAGACAGAAAAAGTCTTCATTTTCAAATATTGGCTTTTCTAAAATGGCTTAAAAAAAAAAAAGGAAAAAAGTCTTATTGCAAAATAATAATTCATTTAAAAAATATTCTTTCAGACAAATTACTGCCATGGAAGATTTCCCACAGAATGAGAGCAACCATTTTGTGAGACTTAATGTCATACTCGTTCTGTGTAATCAAAAGCAGAATCAAAAAGCAGTTTTTGTTTTGTTAGAAGTAAGCAAGTGAATCTCCGTGAAAGACATTATCTGGAACATAAACACTTACTTCAACAGAACCAATCTTCCGGGATCTTGGAAGGGGTGACTTTCTGTGTATGTGAATTGGGTCTGATACCATTGGCTTGAACATCACTACTGACCGATCTGTTTCATCTCTTTTAGAAGCATGTGCCTCCTCATCACTATCATTTCTATGAGAGTTTTTCTTTGAGCCTTCATTCTATAAACAATACATAATTTATTTTCAATTTAGTTGCACATCTTGAAAAATGTAGACAGAAGTGGCTGTTGAATAAACCTTCTGTGTAAACATAAAGCAAGTTGATTTTAAAAATAAAAGATGTAAATCACGTATTATTGAAAAAATTGCTCTAGTTTTTAATAATATGTATTTATTCCTAACCAGCCACTGCATATGATAGTGTGGTCCTAATTAACGACACTGTTCAGCCAACATACCTTACTCCAATTTTCTGTTGACACAGTAATAAAATCTTGGCCCCACAAGTCAAATAGAATTTCAGCCAAGCTTTGCTTTCATTTATTCCTCAAAAAGCAGGTGGTTAACTCCACAGACCTGCCCATATATCTTTGAAAATATCAATCCTTCCTTTACAATCTGTATTCACAAACATGCTGAATGACCTTACTCTCTTAAATATTTGTTTCAGTTGCCAGAATATCATTGATGTGACACTGATGTTGATGTCACTTTTCTTACAATTAGTATTTCCTATTTCTAGCAAAAATTCTGGCAAAGCCATAAAAGGTCTAAATTATCTATGTCCGTATACCTCAAAAGAGAATAATACGTTGGGACTGACTATATTTTACTAGATATTTTTCTACCAAAACAAAAATCACATTTGTATTCTTTAGCTAACAATTTCCCAGTGTTTATTTTAGGTATGTCCGTATTCAGAAAAACTGACTTTTCCTTTGAAGAAAGGCATAATTATTACCTCTCTGGACGCAGGTCTGTATCCATACCCAGATGGTAAATTTTTATCTTCCTCACAGCCTTTCGCTCCTGGACTGAAGTGCAGCTCTACATGAAAACGTTCTTCCGAAGAAAGTTCCTGAAGAAAATGATTAAATAGTTTTACACTTTAATACATAGCTTAGCATTACTTGTTTCTGAAGATATTTATCCACTGTAAATACCTTGTTTGGATCCTCATAAAGCATGATAACAATCTGGGTCATGTAATTGAGTTCATTGACAACATTTAAATAATCCATCGCTCGTTTCCATTGTTCATCTTTTGATTCCTTATGAAAGGGAAAAAAAAAAATCAACGAGTAAAACCCAGCTATTTTCTTTAAGAAAAAAGATGATTTTTACCCGTTTACATGGATTTTATATTCACAGCAGAAGTAGGAATCTTTTCACAACTAAGGAAAAACCAAGATACAACTAGGGGAAAAATGTGACTTAAAATTATTCATCAAATGAATAAAAAGTGGAGATCAGAACTTTTCAGATTTTATTTCAGTGTATCTTTCATGTTCTTTCGCCACTGATGATACATGTCTTGTAGACAAAGGCACTGTTTTAAACTCTCCTGAGTTTAAATAGGAATTGTTAATTTTGCAATAAAGTAATTTCAACTGGTGTATCATGGAAGATGTTTCTAGATACCACTCTAGAGTCAGAGTAAATGAAGGCTTCTAGTATATAGAGGAAAAATAACCACCATATCCCAAACTATCTTAAATGAATATTCACCTTTTTTCACCTTAAAAAACTTCAAAGTTTATCAGCCTAAAACTAGTGGTGTATCTGCTGCAGCATTATGTCATAGAGGTCTAAGATAAAAAGTGCTTTTGCCATCAGTGAGTTTAGTCATCCATTTCCAGAAGAAAGTATGTTAATATTTCAAAACCAATGTCAACCATTTCAAAAGTTAGTATATTAATCAAGATCTATGTTAGAAGCAGCCATGTAGGCTTTGTGGTGCTGGGTTTATCTTCTCCAAGAGCTCAGTTAGGTCATTTCTGAATCTGGACACCTTGTCTTTTTTAGTCCTTTGTTTCAAAGACAACCAGATGGAGAATAATGCACCTCCTTCAACATATTCTATGACAATATAGGAAAGTAAGACAATCCACTGAACAGGAGAAACTGCACTACATTAGCGTTCTTGAAGTCAGGTAGGGAGGTCATTATAATATGCCAATGGTCAAAATTAATAAGGCAGTGCAAAAGGCAATGCAAAAGTGAGTACCCTAAATGATACCTCAAAGGAAAAAGAGTTAGAAGACTTATAGGTGACAACAGAAGACAAAAAATGGATTATCTGCCGTTTTCAGATCTCTTTGAGACCATAACATATACAGCTGAACATACCAGTGGAACTCAGCATTACTTTAAAGGACATGCTGATTTCCGCCAACATGCATGCCAGTGATTTGAAATGTGGTTCTGCATATATAATAGGAAATCAAATGTTTGAAAAGTGTGATACATTTCAAATCCACTTAAGAAAATTAAGCCTTCAATTGATACAATTTTAGTATGATTGAGTCCTTTTGGTTCTTCTCAAAATACCAGAGCTTTAACAGAAGAAGTGTTCAACTTACATCACATAAGGCACCATAACGAAGGGTGGATAACAGGGAGTGGACATGACTTTCGCTGGTGAAATACAGCCGTGTACGAACATGGCGTTCAGGGGACATAACACCCCTGGAGTAACTTGAAAGAAAAAAAAATAATCTTATTAGACCATAATGAGATGTGTCCCTATTTTAGAAATAGCTGACAACATACAAATAAATAAATCATACTTTTTAAATTACTATGAGCTAGTAAGACACTTCAAATATGAAAGCTATGGAGTATCTCCATTAAGTCTTATGGAAATTAATGGAACCATGTAAAAAAGTGAAAGACTTACAGAGGGTGAAGCTTGTTTACAGTATCATCATCTTGAGTTCTCTGAAGGTCAGAACGGATTTTTCTAACTAGAGGAGTGCAGTAACCTTTGGCAATCTCTAGTTTTTCAGTCTTAGAAATACCATATTCCTGTGTAAGAAGAAACTAGCAGTTAAAGATTAAAATGTCTTCTAATTCAAAGCTTGTGCATTGAAGTCAATTAGTCATCTACTAGTTTGCTCTGGCTGCAAACTGTTTTGTTTAGCAATTTTATTACATTTGATTACTGATGTCCCTTCAAGCAACAAGGGGTTTGCCACTTTGCTGTTTGATTTGAGACAGAGAAACAGTTTTTCATTCACTAGTTAAACCACAAAAGCAGATTCACCTTCTGGTATGATGAAGCTCTTTTTCTTAAGCAAAACATCTAGGCAATTATTCCTTCTCCCTGCGTCCCCCTGCCCCGATTTAGACATCTATGATGCATTTCATGTCACCTGATTTCAAGTAACTTTTTTTTAAAAAGTCCATAAAAAGATGTAGGCACATTACCTATTTAATATGTCTATCTTAGTTTGGGGTAAACCATCCCACAGAATATCTCCTATTCACCTCAAATAATACTGAAAATGGTAGTTAAATACAACTGGAAAATATATCTGTTACAGTATCTACAATATTTTAGTATCTCTTCTTCCAGTCACCTCTTCCAGGTGTGGAAGTGTGCTCTGTGCTGCACATGATATCGAAGTGCATATCACTGTGATGGATCTTCTGGTTACCCTAGAAAGCAACATAAGCTTTTCCTTTGCATGATGTAGGCTTATTAAGTTTTCTTTTTTTTACTTTGTTCAGTATGTGTTCTCGGTTTTACCTACTCTTCTCAACACTCTATTCAAAACTTAAGCTTAACAGGTCTACATAGCACAATACATACTTAGTATCATTGCTTTTTGTCCTCCTTGCTGTCAGGGAGTTTTTGAGAGATAGAGAGAGGAAGAAGTTCCCTCACTTGCTCCATACAATACAGATAATACATCTCTTACAACAGTGCTCTGTAACTGCAGGAACACTTGGGGAAAGCTTTAGCCTGTTCTGTCCTGTTATCACTATCATATCCTGCAGCCTACCACATTTTAGAGCTAGCCTGCATTTAACAGCCTGTGTTATATGGAAGTTTAACTTGTCTGCTTCTGACTTGAAATTCTATGAAACTTTATGCACACATTTTTATCTGGGAGTGTTAGCATTTTGAAGCAGCAGCAAAGTCTTTTTAAATTTAACTTGCTTAAGACAAGTGAAATTTGATAGATTAGGATTAACAATATCATTTGCAAAGAACCTGAAAATGATATTTCTAAAAGCTGGAAGAATGAAATTAAAGGCAATTTCAGAATACACAGTTGTTTGCAGGGGCTCCACTGAGATGAACCCTTTATTTTAATACACTGCAGTAAAGGAAGCAGACATGTTCACATCTTAAATTGCTAGAAAAATTCACTTTGAACACAGCTTAATAAATTATAAATCAATTTTTTTCTTAGAAAAAATCACCACCTTGCTACCAGAGAATAAGAGTTAACATTAAAGATTTCTATTACTGCAAAATACAGGAACCTTCCATTGAAAAGACAGAGCAAATGTTTTCACAAAATTTGAAAAAGCATTTATTTTACAACTTATTCTACTTAATACCTGAAAATGCTTACCTGAGGGATCACAATGTCAGCTAAAGCCTTTGAAAGCCTGTATAATTCCATTGTGTTTTCTAACTTTAAGGAGCCATTGTGCTGCACGTCATATTTTATGCAGTCATAAATATCAGGAATTTTGCTAATATCGTATCTTCCATTTTTTGTTTTAAAGTCTTTTTCCAGCTTGGCCCACCTGCGCAGCATCAGTTCTAGTGTTTCACTGTGGTACAGCTGAATATCTGGATAGACACATATCTCATATAAATAGTCAAGACGATCCAAGCAACAAAAGGGAAATTTTAATTACATGGTAGTAACAGTTGAATACAGAGGGATAAAAGGGATCAAATAAGTTAAGTCATTACTTCTATGAAGAGGGAACAGATGTACATATGGTTAATTTTACTGATGAAAGCACCACAGCTACATAGCTACATCAAAACAGTAGAAAGCTTTGCTGCAGAAATGCACCACTGGCCCTTTAAGCAAAGCTACAGGGCCAAAAATAGTATTCAACGGTACAGCTCATATAGTTAAAAAAAGCAGCCAAAAAAAGCTCTAAGAATATTCTAGGAGGGAGGAAGAGGAGCGAGAACACATCTCTTTTAGAACAGACCACACATTCCATTTTTCTCTTTCTCTTGCATGTGTCAATGGCAAGAGACAAGAGATGGATAGAAAGGATGGATTTGCCAAGTAATTAGCGACAGAACAAGAGAAAATGGCCTCAATTTGTGCCAGGGGACAATTAGACTGGATATTAGGAAAATTTTCTTTACTGAGAGAGTGGTAAAACATTGGAACAGGCTGCCCAGGGAGGTGGTGAAGTCACCATCACTGGAAGTGTTCAAAAAACATGTAGATGTGGCACTTCAGGACATGGTTTAGGGGGCATGGTGGTGTTGGGTTGTCAGTTGGATTCATGATCTTAAAGGTCTTTCCAACCTTAATGATTCTGTGATTCTGTGATTATGCCCATCCCAGGACAGAAGATTAGACCAAACAGACAAAAACTACTGATACTATCTACAGGTG